TATTAGTTACACTTTAATTAATATCACTTAAAATCATTCTATTACTCATTTACTCCCATTAATTACTATACTCATTCTATGCGTTCATTTTTTCATATGTAGTACTTCTCAAATTAATTAATTGGTTACAAACTTACAAATTAAAATTATTTTTCTAAAATCTAAAGGTTGTTTTTAAATAAATATGTTACAATACGTTATTTCAAATATGTTACAATATGTTAAGTAAAATTATTTACAATATGTTATTTGTTTAAATACTTCTACACCTATTTTGTAACATTTGTAAATTATAAATCAAACCACTTTTCTAAGTAAAAATAGCTTTACTTAATTCATAATATTTTTTTTTGAGAGGCTTAATTCATAATATTAATTAACTTATTTTACAATATGTATAATTTTCAAAAAAAAAATATTTAAAAAAAATTAAAAAAAAAAAATAGCTCCCAAACGGCTATATAGCCGTTGGGGCTTTGGGTGGGGGGCAGGGGGGTCCCGGGTGGTGGTGGTGTGGGGAGAGGGGTTCAAAAACATCTATAAATACATCTATTTTCTAACATTTTTCTACACCTCTTGTCCAACTCTTCTCCATCTTCATCTTCTCTTATTATCCTACATTCCTACTTATACATCTACCATTTTAAAGATGGAAAGTACATCTACTCTTATGCAAAACAATTTTGATAAGTGGAAGGACCCGAAGACCGGACTGTGGTGGGCAACTTGCAAGTGGTGCAAGAAAGAGTGTAGCTTGGGGCGTTCACACGGATACGAGATGACAATAAAACATATGAAGTCCTGTGACAAAGGGAAAACAACAATCAACGGTGGCGGAAATCCCAATTGATATTTATTAGAAAATGTATTTCTTATTGTTGTTTTTTCTCAATTCTCAAATGTAGTTCCTATTTCAAATAAATGCACTTGAACTTTGTTTTTAATAAGAATTTGTATATTCTATAATAATTTTTTTTAAAAAAATTATGACCCGGCCCGGCCCGGCGGGTGGCCCGACCCGTGACCCGGGCGGGTGGCCTGGCCCGAACCGGCACTAGCCATAGCCCGGGCCTACCTCTACCTGACCCAAGGCCCGACCGGGCCTAGGCCAGGCCCGGGTCCATCACTACTCATAGTGAATGCCTTCACTGTTTTGCCTTTTTGCGTCATTGCAGTTGGGATTTAGAACAGACTACACTATCAATTTGTACCCATAGTGAAAATTCAAAACATCTACACTATTTGCAAAGAGAACATAGAAAGTTATTTGTATAAGAGCATAAAACAAAGAGAATAATGATAATGAATAAAAATGAGAGGAAGCGGTCCAGCCCAGTTGGTTGCCGACTCACTCTTCCTTATGGAAGGTCCGGGGTTCAATTCTCAATGGAGTGAGATTGGTCCCAATTTACCCCAGACCCCCAAACTCCCCTCCCCCTGACGCCCCCTGGGGTAAAAAATAAATTGAAAAAAAATGAATATATAAAAATGATCTTTGTACACAACAAAACACACTATAAATACCATCTATTTTTACCATTTCACATTTACCCTCCTCCCTCTCCGCTCTTTTCCCGTCTCCTCTCTTCTCCCTACGATTTCCCCCCTCCCTACTCACTCTTCTTTATTTTTTCTTCCATCTTGATCACTCTCATCTTCATCTAACTTCCATTTTCATCATCTTATGTGATCCCTCATCTCCATCACTATCTTCCATCTTTATCATTTTCATTTTCATCATTATCTATCTTTCCCACTTCATCTTTCATTTTTTAAGATTCACCAGAGATGGAGAGTCGCCTCGAAACCAAACCGAAGATGAACAACTACTGAAATTATTGTCTGTATCATATATGAAATCGTCCGACTTCTTAAATAATGATAAATAAAATTTAGAATTTATAAATAAAAGTCACCAGAAAACAAATCGGAGATGTAAAGTCACCTGAATTATTGTCTGTAATGTTTTAAACAATTGTCTCTATCGTCCAAAATAATATGGTTTCTCTGTGTGAACAAATAAAATTGAAAAATTAGTAAATTTCTGTAAAATTAGACCACAAACAAAAAATGCTTGTGAACAAATATTGATTTTTGTGACTTTTTTTTTTTCAGAGATGACAGTGCTTGTGGCACATAAACCAATGTTTGTGTACATACATTAATTGTTCGTGGCGCTTGAGAAATGTCTGTGCTTGTACATTTTTTGCCGTGTCAATCATTTTTTGTCTATGGAAGACAACTAATGTCTGTATACACACATTAATTTTTGTCACTTTTTACAGAGATGGCATTGTTTGTGGTGCAAAAACCAATGTCTGTGTACAGACATTAAATGTTTGTGGCACTTGAGAAATGTCTATACTCGTATATTTTGGTGTCTGTTTCGAACTTTTTTTGTTTGTGGAAGACAACTAATGTCTGTACACATATATCACTTTTTGTGCCTTTTATGCAGATATGACGGTGTTTGTGATGTAGAAACCGATGTCTGTATATAGACATTAAGAGCCCATTTGGAAACCAAGATTTTTGGCTTTTCAGGCTCATCAACCAACTTTTTCACCAAACACGTAACTTTTAGTTTCGCGTGCTGAATTGTGTAATGACAAGAAAAAGTAAGGTTGAAATTACTTTTCTGGTTGTATTGAGTGAAGTTATTGTAGAGGACCATTTTAACTACTTTTCAAATAATTTTTTCTTTATTTTATTAATAATTTTTTTTAAATTTTTTTCTTCACAAATTAGCAGAATCAGCCAATGCAGCAAGAATCAGCCGATACAGCCGATTTGGATGTTACCAAATAGGCCCGAATTTTCTATACTAGTTGTTGAGGTTTAGTTCCGTAGATCCGAAAGCCCAATATAAACTTCAGATATTAAGGACGACGAATTTAGTATAAAAATAAATCATAAATATAAGTGTATGAACTAGCTATTTTTACGTGGAAACCCGGAAAGGGAAAAAACCACAAGACTTTTTAGCCTAACGTACAAGCCCTCTCTTTCTCATTAATATGCTCTCTTCACCATTTACATAATACATAAGTTGAAGCTCCATTAATGGAGATTTATGAGCTAATTCACTAATAAAGAAGTTAAGTAAAGGAGAAGAAGCTTTCTCCCGGAGAGAAGAGCCAAAGAAGAGTCTCCCCTTAGCAGGAAGCTTTGCTTCCTATTTATAGATGGGGGAGGGGTGTGAGGGTTTTCCTCATTTGGGCTAATGGGCCTACATGGGCCGTGTTGGGCCGAAATGAGCCTACATGTGTCTTGGGCCTCTAAACAGTAGTAGGCCGGGGTAATATACCCCAACACAAGTCCCCCAGTTTTTTGAGTAGTGAATCTGCAAATCTACTTGAGAAAGTATACTCTTGCTCATGTCCTTCCCTGCCTTCCATGAAACAATACTTTTGAATAGTCTTGGACACAAGGCATGGTAGGTGAGGTGCAATCCCGCACTAGGCACGACGGCGCTAAAGAGCCAGCCGCTCGCACTGCATAAAATGGCGGCCCCGACCCTGAATGGCATGGGTGGACCCAACCGAGAAGAAGGCACGACGGCGTTGTAGAGCCAGCCGTTCGTGCTGCATAAGATGGCGGTCGTCATCCTAGATTAAGGATCGACGAGCCATGCGGAGAATAGGCACGACGGCGTTGAGAGGCCGTTCGTGCTGCATAAAAGCGGCGGTCGCCATCCCAGATTAGAGATCGACGAGCCCGACCGAGAGCCAGGCACGACGGTGTTGTGGAGCCCGTTTGTGCTGCATAAAAGCGGTGGTCGCCATCCTAGGTCAAGGATGGACGAGCCCGACCGAGAGCCAGGCACGACGGTGTTGTGGAGCCTGTTTGTGCTGCATAAAAGCGGTGGTCGCCATCCCAGGTCAAGGATGGACGAGCCCGACCGAGAACCAGGCACGACGGTGCTGTGGAGCCTGTTCCTGCTGCATAAAAGCGGCGGTCGCCATCCCAGGTCAAGGATGGACGAGCCCGACCGAGAGCCAGGTACGACGGTGTTGTGGAGCCCGTTCGTGCTGCATAAGATGATCAATAGAAGAATGATAGCTTTTATTCCCCAGCTCAAACCGAACCAGCCGCGAGATCACCTGTCCGGTCTGATTTGGACGGGTCACTCTAACTAATTGGTCGGGGATGGCTACCACACTCAACAAGCCATCGCGACATTTGGGTAGCCCCAAACGTATATGCCACACACTTGTGAACACGGTTGTAGAACCCCCTATCCTTTGGACGGGGTGTTCCACGGACTCGACTCTGACAAACTCAGGACCCGTCGGCCCAGGACCACGTTGGGCCGCCCTTTACATCGCCTCTAAACCATTTTGTACCCCCGTTCGCTCGCTTTCGACGAACAGATCGTTCCGCCCTGGCTGAAATTATGACTCACACCAAATTCATAGTTCCGTTCCCCGTTCTTCCCACTAGAATGGTACAACGTACTTATGCTTGAGGTGAGAATTTTAGCCAATAGTTCTGCTGCTAATCCGTCCGGTTTTCTCCGATCTAGATCATCATTCATACTAATGGTCTATTCTTCGCCACCAAACTACAGTTTCAATGCCCCGTTCGGTTTTCCCGATACAGTTCATTCGTACCTATGGTTGAGGCGACAATCAAGGAGCCCTGATCTCCTTTTCTCTCTTTTTCTCTCTGGGTTTTCCATATTTATCATTCTTTTATGTGTGTGTGTATATATATATATATATATATATATATATATATATATATATAAATACATGGACTCATAATGATGATCACGTCGTGCCGGGGTGGCCGATCATGGAGATATAATGATGATCACGTCGTGCCGGGGTGGCCGATCGTGGAGCTATAAAGCAGTCAGATCATCTGGATAATAGGTCTTCCTCCGTGGAGTGTGAAGATGCCTTCATAGTGATAAACATGTCGTGCCGAGAGGTCGATCATGATATGAGGACAGCGGCGGCGGTCCATAAAATATAGTGATAGGCCCAATTTCATTACTCAATTCTGATAATTTATCATACTATTTTGGGCCTATTTTATTTCTCTTTTGGGAATTAATGACTAATTTGGACTAAACTTGCTCTTTTATTAGGAAAGGATGGAATTGGAAAGAAGTTTAATGTTTTGAGACCAAAGTCCAAGGAATTGGAAGAGGAAGGTTAATCTCTCAAAAATCAGCCCAAGACTAATAAGGAAAGAACTCTTTCCCGTAGCATTTATCCTCACCATATGTGGAAGAGCACAAAATGAAAGATTCATTCTCTAGCAAACATGGAAACTTCCAACAATTCAGCCCACATCTTATACGAATTAGACATTCCAAATCATCAAAACAAAGGCAGTCTTGGCCGAATTTAATGGAGGGAGCCGTTGGGGATTAACTCCCCCAATTTGAAGATCCAAAAATCTGCCCAGACCGTCATATAAAACGCAGCAGCATCGCAGCAGGAAAGGAGGAGGAACGGAGGTGAAAACTGGAGAGAAAGACAGAGGAACTCAGCCGCTCCTTCATCGATCATCTTCGGTTTTTCATTCTCTATTAATTAGTTAGTTTAATTTCAGATTTCCTAGTTCTTGTATTTCAATTTCAGAACTTTTACTTTCATGTTTATGCTATTGAAAGGTGATTTCTTCCATACCTTAGGTATGATATTTGGCTAGATTTTTACCCGAGGGATTTGGGATTAAAGCTTGGTAATAAGTGATTATCTCTTGTGTTTGGTTCTTCCATTGTAATCGACAGATTATTTTTCCAATTAAATTTATTTTATGAATTTCATTGATGAATTTTGCATTGAGCTCATGCTTAATTCTTATTGTTAGGTATCGTGTGATGCACCGACGGGTGAGGCATGATATTTGAGCCCGTAAAATAAACATGATTCACCTATACTAGACATAGTTGGGGAATTGTAGTGACTTTCAATTGTCGCTTTTTGGCTAGTTAAGTTTAGTGTTCAATCGACGGATTAACACTAGCTTAACCGGTACGCGCTAATATCTCGACGGAGAATTAGCATATTTTAGAACCAATTGTCACTTTAATTGCTTGAACCGACACTGAGATTTTCTATTAATATCAAGTGTATAACCCGAATCCCGAGGGCCGTTTTATCTATTGTCTACTTGATTAATTCTTAATTCTGGTTTTACTCCTCGCTCTTATCTTATCAAAATCAAATCAAAATCAGTTTTTACTTTGTTGATAGAAACTTAAACCATTATAGTTCAATTTGTGCTCCTCGTGGGATCGACCCTGGAATACTCTGGGTTTTACTACGACCGATCTGTACACTTGCAGAAAAAAGCGGTCAAGTTTTGGCGCCGTTGCCGGGGAGCGCTTAAATTGTTTCTTTTTGATTTTGTTTCTGTCAACTATTGTTTTTCTTTCTTCCATTTTATTCTCTTTTATTATCACTGCATTATGCTTCACAATTTTTTCAGTAAGTGCAGATTTTTATGCGATTAAGGGGATCCAGAAAACAGCTTAACGCAGATTTGGAACCCTTAGATCTTGAGATTGAACGCACTTTTAGACAAAGAAAAGCAAGAAGAAGATTAGTTATGGCGAACGATAATAATAATAGGCAAGTTGTTGTCCCGCCACCTCCACGTTTGAGGGATATCCAGCGTCCGGTAATAGCCGCCAACCCTTCTTGTATTTTACTTTCTGATGCCGCAAGAAACTATGAGCTCAAAAATATACATCTTAATATGCTTCCCTCCTTTAATGGACTGGGAACTGAAGATGCTTTAGGATTCATGCGTGAGCTTTATAGTACGGTACAAACTTTTCCTTTAAATAATTTATCCGAAGATGAGCTTCGTATGAGATGTTTTCCTTATTGCATGAAAAGTGAGGCTAGACAGTGGTTGTTAAATTTGCCAGAACGCTCTCTAACCAATTGGGAGCAAGTTTATGATGCTTTCATGTTCAAATTCTATTCTAACCAGAAAACAATGGATTATAGGAGTAGAATTTGCAATTTTGTTCAAGGGGAAAGGGAATTATTTCATGAAGCATGGGAAAGGTTTAATTTATTTTTGAACCAGTGCCCCCACCATCAGTTTTCTGTGTTACTTTTAACTCAATTTTTCTATGATGGTCTTACTCCGAATTGCCAAACTCTTGTAGATACTGCTTGTGGTGGTTATACAGGAGATAAAAATGCTAATGAGTTATGGGACATTTATAAGAATTTGGCTACTAATTCTCAACAGAAGGCGGTGAGAGGTCATAGGGCGCTTGTGCACGAAGTGAACGCCCAACCTGATTCGGCCACACAATTGGCTGAGCTAAATAATCAAATGAAGTTGCTAATGACTCGTGAGAGTCCAAGCAGCGAGGTATGTGCCTTTTGTGGTTCAATTGGACACAATGCTAACTTATGTATTCATGCAGGTATGAATCAACAACCTGGTGAAGAGGTGAACTATATGGGAGCCTATGGAAATAAGCAAAATCAGCCGCAAAAGAACGACCCCTTCTCAAACACATATAATCCAGGTTGGCGGAGTCACCCTAACTTCTCATGGAAGGATCCGGGCAATGCTAGGCCAGTGGGACCTCCTGGGTTCCAGCAAGCACAAGTTACCCCATTTCAGCAACAAGTAATGCCTCCGTACCAGTTCCAAATGCCAGAAAAGAAACCACAATTTGAAGAATTAGTCGTGCAGTACATGGCGAATCAAGATGCAACCATGAAAAAGATGGATGCTAAAATTGACAAGGTGGTGCAGTCTAACCAAGCTTCGATTCATACTCTCGAAGTGCAAGTTGGGCAATTGGCTAGAATGGTAACGGAGAAGGACAAAGGCAAGCTTCCAGCAAGCACTGATGTCAATCCAAGAGACGCGATGGCAGTCACATTAAGAAGCGGAAAAAAACTGCCTAACACTTTTCATGAGAGAGCTCCAGTCAAGGAAAAAACTGTCCAAAATCAAGTTGCTGCACAAGAGGTAACCAGAGATCAACTTGACCAGCCAAACACCAAGAATAATGTGGTTCAACCAGCTGAAACCGAGGCAGAAAAGCCATATGTTCCTCCAGAGCCGTATGTACCTCCTATTCCTTATCCACAGAGGCTGCGTAAGAGGAACCAAGATAATAATTTTCAGAGGTTCTTAGAGATCTTTAAGAAGTTGCAAGTCAATATTCCATTTGCTGAAGCACTTGCTAGGATGCCATCATATGCCAAGTATATCAAAGAGTTGGTGTCAAACAAGAAGAAACTCGAGGAGTTTGTGACTGTCCAGTTAAGTGAAGAGTGCAGTGCCATACTACAGAGCAAACTGCCACCAAAGTTAAAAGATCCAGGGAGTTTTTCTATACCCTGCACTATTGGTAATTTTGTTATTGATAAATGCTTATGTGATTTAGGTGCTAGTATCAATTTGATGCCTTTAACTGTTTGCAAAACACTTGGAATTGTTGATATAAAGCCCACTACTGTTTCTTTACAACTGGCTGATAGGTCGGTTAAGTATCCGCTTGGTGTTGTTGAAGATGTCCTAGTTAAAGTGGGTAAATTTTATTTTCCCGCAGATTTTCTCGTGCTTGATATAGGAATTGATTCTGATACTTCTCTTATTTTGGGCAGACCTTTTTTATTAACTGGCGGGGTTTTGATTGATATGCCTCAAGGAAAATTAATTTTTCGGGTTGGGGTTGAAAAGGAGGAGTTTACTATTGCTAAGGCTGTTAATTTCCCTGCTTTTGATGATTCTTGTTATGCTTTAGACTCAGTTGATTCTCTTGTTTCTGAAACTTTTGCTAAGCATTCATTTTATGAACCTCTTGAAGCATGTATTGCTCTTAATTTGAATGAAAAAGAGGAAGATTCTGTTTTTTCTGATTGTGTGATGAGTTTAGAGGGTCGAGGTTCATTAACCAGTAACTTTGGAAAGAAATATGAAGACTTAGGTAGAAGCAACCCTCCCCTTCCTCCTTCACATGAATCACCTCCACAACTTGAGCTTAAACCTCTTCCTTCGAATCTGAAATATGCATTTCTTGGAAATAATAATACTTTTCCAGTGATTGTTTATGCTTATTTGAATCCTGAAGAAGAGGAAATGTTGTTATCTCTTTTGAAGAAGTACAGGGCAGCTTTAGGGTGGTCTATTGCTGATGTTAAAGGTATATCTCCCTCGATTTGCATGCATAAAATCTTATTAACAGATGATCATACTCCTTGTGTGCAAGCCCAAAGACGTCTTAACCCTAATATGAAAGAAGTTGTGCGGGCAGAAATTCATAAGTTGCTGGATTCAGGTATTATCTATCCTATCTCAGATAGCTCGTGGGTTAGCCCAGTTCAGGTTGTTCCGAAAAAGGGGGGTATTACGGTTGTTAGTAATGATAAAAATGAATTAATACCTACCAGGACTGTGACTGGGTGGAGGGTTTGTATAGATTATAGAAAGCTTAATGCTGCTACCCGAAAAGATCACTTCCCGCTACCTTTCATTGATCAGATGTTAGAACGCCTAGCTGGTTATGCATATTACTGTTTTCTTGATGGTTTTTCGGGTTATTTTCAAATTCCTATTGCTCCGGAAGATCAGGAAAAAACCACATTTACATGCCCGTTTGGTACGTTCGCTTTTAGAAGAATGTCTTTTGGTCTTTGTAATGCACCTGCTACTTTTCAAAGATGTGTGATGTCTATATTTTCTGATATGGTTGGAGACATTATTGAAGTTTTCATGGATGATTTTTCTGTGTTTGGCATGTCTTTCGATTGTTGTTTGACTAATCTGGAACGTGTTTTAGCGCGATGCGTGGAAACTGATCTTGTACTTAATTGGGAAAAATGTCATTTTATGGTCACTCAAGGTATTGTTCTAGGACATAAAGTTTCTGCTCAGGGAATTGAAGTTGATAGGGCTAAGGTTGAGGTTATTGAAAAGTTACCTCCTCCTACGTCCGTAAAAGCTGTTAGAAGTTTTTTAGGACACGCTGGTTTTTACAGAAGGTTTATTAAAGATTTTGCTAAAATTGCAAAACCTCTTTGTAATTTACTAGTAAAAGATACACCTTTTCTGATGGATGAAAACTGTTTGCATGCTTTTACTGTTTTGAAACAAGCTTTAACTTCTTCTCCTATTATAGTTGCTCCTGATTGGACTTTGCCTTTTGAATTAATGTGTGATGCGAGTGATTTTGCTTTAGGGGCAGTTCTGGGCCAACGAAGAGAGAAGAAATTGCATGTTATTTGTTATGCTAGTAGGGTTTTGAATGATGCTCAAATTAATTATGCAACTACTGAAAAAGAGTTTCTAGCGATCGTTTTTGCTCTTGATAAATTTCGTTCTTATCTTGTTGGATCAAAAGTGATAGTTTTTACTGATCACTCTGCATTGAGGTATCTTCTATCGAAGAAAGATGCGAAACCTAGACTAATAAGATGGGTTTTACTACTGCAGGAGTTTGATTTAGAAATAAGAGACAAAAAGGGGTCAGAAAACCTTGTTGCTGACCACTTGTCTCGTTTAGAGCATACACAAGCTGTAATTCCTGAGAAACCAATAAATGATGAGTTTCCAGATGAGGGCCTTTGGGCCATTGATAAATCTATAGTTCCTTGGTTTGCTGATTATGTGAATTTCCTAGTTTCTAACATTGTTCCGCAGGACCTAAGTTACCACCAGAAAAAGAAGTTCTTTGCCGATGTCAAGCATTATATGTGGGATGACCCCTTGCTCTTTAAACGATGTGCTGACGGAATTGTGAGGAGATGTGTGCCCGAGGAAGAGATGGTCCAGATTCTCAACGATTGTCATTCCTCGCCTTACGGTGGTCATCATGGGGCTGAGCGGACAGCAGCAAAAGTTCTGCAAAGCGGCTTCTATTGGCCAACTCTTTTTAAGGATACTAGGAGTTTTGTGATGGCGTGTGATAGATGCCAGCGTACTGGAACCATCGGTAAGAGGCATGAAATGCCTCAACAAGGTATTTTTGAAGTTGAATTGTTTGATTTGTGGGGTCTGGACTTTATGGGTCCATTTCCTCCTTCTAATGGTAAGCTTTATATTCTTGTTGCGGTCGAATATGTGTCTAAATGGGTAGAGGCAGTTGCCTTACCTGATAATACCGCAAAAAGTGTGGTCAAGTTCGTTAGGTCTCTCATATCTCGCTTTGGTGTACCTAGAGCTTTCATTTGTGATAATGGTGTGCATTTTAAAAATTCTCAGTTTTTATCTTTGCTTTCCAAATATGGTTGTCATCTCAAATCTGGAACCACCTACCATCCACAATCAAGTGGACAGGTAGAGGTTTCCAACCGTGAGATTAAGTCTATTCTTGAAAAAACAGTTAACTCAACTCGGAAAGACTGGTCGTTAAAGTTGCTTGATGCGTTATGGGCTTATAGGACTGCCTATAAAACACCCTTAGGGATGTCTCCGTATAGGTTAGTCTATGGTAAGTCTTGTCATCTCCCTGTTGAGTTAGAACACCGTGCTTATTGGGCTGTCAAAACTTTGAATTATGACTTGAAAGCTGCAGGTGAAAAGAGATTGCTTCAGTTGAATGAACTTGATGAGATTCGTCGAGAATCTTACGAGAACTCTCGAATTTTTAAAGAAAGGACTAAGGCATGGCATGATAAAAAAATTCTAAGGAGGGAGTTTAAGGAAGGGCAAGAAGTTTTGTTATTTAACTCTCGTCTTAAGCTTTTTCCAGGTAAACTGAAATCCAGGTGGTCAGGGCCCTTTGTTGTGACCAAAGTTCATCCTTATGGAGCAATTGAGATCGAGGGCAGTGAGAAGAGGCCATTTGTGGTCAATGGACAAAGATTGAAACACTTTTTTCGCGGGGAGACAGTTCCTAATGCTGAATCAAACACCCCCCATTCGGATTGACGTATTTTTTTTGAAGTGTCTAGCTCTAGACGTTAACTAAAGCGCTTATTGGGAGGCAACCCAACATTTCATTACCTTATCCTTTGATTTTCATTTTTCCTTCTTCTTCTAGTTTTCTACTTTCTTCGTTTTTTTTGTTTCCTTTTGTTTGCAGAATAAAAGATGATCTGGTGCTGAAGCCTAGTCTGGATAAACTCCAGCTGATTTCTTCTGATTAAATACTTTAAGGGAGTACTCTTTTCCCTTCACCTTTTACTGTTAACATTGAGGACAATGTTTTGTTCAAGTGTGGGGGTGGTTGTTTGGTTTGGCCTTAAATCTCAGTAGTTTTGAGCTTGAATTCTCTCCCAGCTTGGATCTTTTATGGCCAATGATGAGTTTAATGCCTTGTTAGCACCAATTTTAGTTAGTGTCAAACATAAAGCTAGTTTTTATTTTCAATATGTCACTGCTATTCATAAATAAAGTATCTCTGATTTTGAGCTTTCTCCTTGATTTTCAAGTGTGCTGGGCAATTTTTTTTAAAGTGTAAGTGCAGTCCCTAATTCAAATGACTTTTTGGGGCAAGGGTTAAAATAGAGTATATGAAATGATTTTCTGAGAAGAAACACTTGCCTTTTAACTTTTGAAGTGCAGTTTGTGTTTTCCTTAGAAGGCTGCTATCCAACTCGTTTTTTTATGTTAATCGTACTAGTGTACAGCTGAGTTTTAAAGTTCAGATTCTGCGCTTTCTTTTAATTCTTCAAGAATAGCATGGTCATATGGTTTATACTAGCAATGTGTTTGAGTAGCTAAAGTTGATTCTAACTTGGCATTCCTGAGGCAAGTAAGCAAAGCAGACCATGAGGGTCTTCCTGGGAGAACTTTGAGTATTCTGCTTATGCTGAAATTGTATTTTACATCCACTCATTTTATTGCTTGAGGACAAGCAAGACTTTAAGTGTGGGGGAATTTGATAGGCCCAATTTCATTACTCAATTCTGATAATTTATCATACTATTTTGGGCCTATTTTATTTCTCTTTTGGGAATTAATGACTAATTTGGACTAAACTTGCTCTTTTATTAGGAAAGGATGGAATTGGAAAGAAGTTTAATGTTTTGAGACCAAAGTCCAAGGAATTGGAAGAGGAAGGTTAATCTCTCAAAAATCAGCCCAAGACTAATAAGGAAAGAACTCTTTCCCGTAGCATTTATCCTCACCATATGTGGAAGAGCACAAAATGAAAGATTCATTCTCTAGCAAACATGGAAACTTCCAACAATTCAGCCCACATCTCATACGAATTAGACATTCCAAATCATCAAAACAAAGGCAGTCTTGGCCGAATTTAATGGAGGGAGCCGTTGGGGATTAACTCCCCCAATTTGAAGATCCAAAAATCTGCCCAGACCGTCATATAAAACGCAGCAGCATCGCAGCAGGAAAGGAGGAGGAACGGAGGTGAAAACTGGAGAGAAAGACAGAGGAACTCAGCCGCTCCTTCATCGATCATCTTCGGTTTTTCATTCTCTATTAATTAGTTAGTTTAATTTCAGATTTCCTAGTTCTTGTATTTCAATTTCAGAACTTTTACTTTCATGTTTATGCTATTGAAAGGTGATTTCTTCCATACCTTAGGTATGATATTTGGCTAGATTTTTACCCGAGGGATTTGGGATTAAAGCTTGGTAATAAGTGATTATCTCTTGTGTTTGGTTCTTCCATTGTAATCGACAGATTATTTTTCCAATTAAATTTATTTTATGAATTTCATTGATGAATTTTGCATTGAGCTCATGCTTAATTCTTATTGTTAGGTATCGTGTGATGCACCGACGGGTGAGGCATGATATTTGAGCCCGTAAAATAAACATGATTCACCTATACTAGACATAGTTGGGGAATTGTGGTGACTTTCAATTGTCGCTTTTTGGCTAGTTAAGTTTAGTGTTCAATCGACGGATTAACACTAGCTTAACCGGTACGCGCTAATATCTCGACGGAGAATTAGCATATTTTAGAACCAATTGTCACTTTAATTGCTTGAACCGACACTGAGATTTTCTATTAATATCAAGTGTATAACCCGAATCCCGAGGGCCGTTTTATCTATTGTCTACTTGATTAATTCTTAATTCTGGTTTTACTCCTCGCTCTTATCTTATCAAAATCAAATCAAAATCAGTTTTTACTTTGTTGATAGAAACTTAAACCATTATAGTTCAATTTGTGCTCCTCGTGGGATCGACCCTGGAATACTCTGGGTTTTACTACGACCGATCTGTACACTTGCAGAAAAAAGCGGTCATATAGTCATGCTGTAAAGATGTCGGTACTAAGGATACCAATCCGGAAACTCGAGCAACGGTCCTCATCCGCGAGGAGCGGGGATGAGCCCGGTCTTCAAAATATGATGATGGCACCGTACGAGGGGCTCGGTGGCCATGTAAAGATGTCAGCACTGGGGGCCGATCAAAGAACAAAAACAACCAATAGTCCTCATTCGCGAGGAGCGGGGACAAGGCTGGCCGGATATGATAATGGCACCGTACCAGGGGGTCGGTGTCCATGCAATGATGTCGGCATTGGGGGCCGATCGGAAAGGAACAAGCAACGGTCCTCATCCGCGAGGAGCGGGGTCGAGGCCAGTCTGCAGATAAAGAAAATCATGTGGTGCTGATAGGCCGATCGTGATGTAATGGTGTCGGCGATGAGAGGACGATCAAGTGTATCTATGCAACGGCTCCCATCCGCGCAACGCGGGGATGATACCGGTCTTCAAGTATGGAGAACACGCCGTGCCGAGAGGCCGATCATGATATAGTGGTGTCGGCAATGAGAGGCCGACGTGAAACTCAAGCAATGGTCCTCATCCGCATAGCGTGGGGATGATACCGGTCTTCAAGCAAAGAGAATCATGCCTTGCCGATAGGCCGGTTGTGATGTAATGGTGTCAGCGATGAGAGGCCGATCAAGTGTATCCATGCAACGGCTCTCATCCGCGCAGCGCGGGGATGATACCAGTCTTCAAGTATGGAGAACTCGCCGTGCCGAGAGGCCGGTCATGATATAGTGGTGTCAGCAATGAGAGGCCGACCTGAAACTCAAGCAACGGTCCTCATCCGCGTAGCGTGGGGATGATACCGGTCTTCAAGTAAAGAGAATCATGTCGTGCCGATAGGCCGGCCGTGATATATAAGGACTGTCTCACGGCCCTCGGCCGTGATGGTTTCTTCTAGGCCCTCGGCCTCTGGGGTGGCAAATGCTCGTTTCACGGCCCTCGACCATGATGGTGGTCTCTCCACGTGTCATGATACCTACACACTTGTAATCTCTCTCTCTCTCTCTCTCTCTCTCTCTCGTTGCCAATTATGAACGTCTCTACGCTTCATGATCTCCCCGTTCGAGCTGATCGAACAGCTCTGAATGTGGTGATTCCTTCTTGTCGGTCATGAATGTTTATGCAATTCATGCCGAATATCATGGATCTTCCAGCTCGAGCATACCGAACGGATCTGAATGATTATAATTCTTTTCTCGTTTCCAGTCAGGAACGTCTATGCTCTTCTTGCCGAACGTCATGCACATCTCTTGTGCTTCATGATCTCCCCATTCGAGCTGATCGAACGGTTCTGAAAGAATGTGATTCTTTTCTCGTTTCCAGTCATGAACGTCTATGCATTTCATGCCGAATCATCATGAACATCTCTGTGCTTCTTGATCTCCTCGTTCGAGAATATCGAACGAATTTCACTGCACAATCAGCATGGTAATACGACCGCACGGCCGAACATATACAAGTATATACATACACATGTGCAACATTTCTTTTTATTTTTTATTCATGACTACCGGCTAAAGTGGTAATAATAACCCTCGGCCTAGATTTATTTCTCGAATCCGTCAGAGTCTACGACCGGAACCACCTAGTGGTTTGCCGGGCGCTCTCAGAAATGTAAGTACTTCGTCCCGTACTGGGTATAATTGTCGTTCGGTCACTCGATGCTGAGCAGGACCATATCGTTATAGTTGTCCTTGTGACGCTTTCATCAGTTAATTTGGGCCAATCGGGGGTGGACCGATGCGCCCATAAAGTCCAAGCATTTAACTAAAATGTTTGGTGAACTCATTACTAGAGCTTCGCTCAGTTCTTATTTAACACGGGATATTTTAATCCCTACAAAACAAATAATCGCTCAGTAATATTAATACATCATTTCATTTAATATTTTCATGAATGAAACGTCAATGCCGAGCGGGCCTATAGGTGGCCTTGAAATTGAAAACGCGTTTGTCGGGGTAACGCTTGTAGATAAGCTCCGATTGCTGATTATAGCCAATCGAGGGTGGGCCGACGCCCCTCTAAAGCTTAGCTCGATCTTATTAGTTTAGGGATGTTTTTAATCCCTAATTAAGAATGGTGATCCAGATAATAACAACCTTGAGAAATATTCACAATTGAACGGGCTGGTGAAAAATGAAGTTACTTAGCTGAAATAGGCGAGTATCAGCTGCCAGGCCTGGAGAATTTGATCTCCCAGAGTGATCCAGCCCATATCGTTGTAGTTTAGAAAGTCCATCACCCGGTCATACCATCTGTCTCCTTAGACTAGTCACAATTTTGGACTCATAACCAGCTCGGTTGGTGATTCATTGCACAACTTCTTTTTCTCTTTTCCCTTTTTCCGCCGATCGAGATTGCCGGAGCCCCTTTTATTTGAAACATCTGCTTGGTGGAGCTTCACAAAAAGCCAAGTCCAGAATTGTTGTTGATTTCGGAGGTGCCGATCGGGAACTTACCGGACGGCGAGACGTGTCAGGGAATGGTTGAGTAAGGCGATGCCCGAGTGACGGAACCCCGAGCGGCACTGCGCAAGTAGGCTGCGGCCCGCAGACATCTAAGCTCTTGTAGATGGAAAATTGTTAAGACACGAGATTCCATCCTAAAAGGTCAACCTGTTAGGAGGAGTAGCCCAGAGCTTAATATAGCACTTGTTTCATCCAAACTTTTCCGGTGTGGGATATTTAACACTCCTCCTCACGACCAGACACTTCGTCTGGATCGTGCCATCATTCATTTTTTCATTGGTTCGTCATTGTCATATTTTTTATATAATCATGTCGTCATTTTTTCATAAGGGGCCCACACCATGGATCGGTTTGGCTCTGATACATGTTAAGACACGAGATTCCATCCTAAAAGGTCAACTTGTTAGGAGGAGTAGCCCAGAGATTAATATAGCACTCGTTTCATCCAAACTTTTCCGGTTTGGGATATTTAACAAAAATTCTCATGCGGTGTTGGCCTTTGAACAAAGGCCATCCTGATGTATCCCCCTCATGGTAGATCTTCCTGAGGGAATAAAAGCCGAGTCTTGGAAAGAGGCGTGCCGAACGGCCAAACGCCAGAAGGGAGCTCCCTTGCTGTTCGGGAGGTGTACCTGCTTGCCCGCTCCTATCGGGTGGTGTTTGATCATCCGGGTCACCCCGGCGTGGGTGTTTGGCCTGGTATACCGATCGGGGAATGATCACTGTTCGGGAATATGGTGATCGATTGAGACTGCTGAAGCCTTTGGGTTGAAAGGAAGTCGAATCTTTACTACCGAGCGGTCGAAACCGCACTTGACAGGGGATATTGATGGCTTGAAGTCTACTGAGCACAAGTTTTGGCATATTCCCGTTAGAGAAACGGCGTTGTTTGCATGAAAACTCAGAAAATGCCACCCAGGATCTAACTGCTGGCCTGCTATCCCTGGGTGGTCCAGGGTATCAGCTTGGGGCTGCTTGGCATGCGCCACTGTACTGGCCTGGAATGCCGTTCGGGTAAAACCGCACCACTAGAGATTTCCATCCTATGTCCGGGGTTCTGCAGGAGGTAGTAAACCGGTGGTCTCCTGGAATTTCAGTCGAGTACATTACTTAATTTGGGTGTTCGGGGTGCTCCCGTTCGGGAAGGCTGTGCTTGTTTGTTGGATAAGTGCTGTGCTTGATAGATATTCTTTTTTATCAAGTTAGTGGGCATGTGGGCCCGTTTACATCTTCTTCCTTCACTGGTAGGCTGCTGCCATGGCTGGTTCACTCATTGGCAGTTCACGTTGGATATCAGTAACTTGGTGGCCAGCTGCTTGACTTAGTCTGGATTCTTCACCAAGAATTCTTCATTCGTAGTTTTCCCAAATCCTCCCCCCTGCGTTTTTCCTCCCTTTGAAGACCAGGATGTTTTTGTATCAATTTTTTTTTGTAGAAAATCAAGAACACATGGAACTTTTAGAAGTGGTTCCCCCATACGGGTGATACGGCGCCAATTATGAGGTTTAGTCCCGTAGATCCAAAAGCCCAACATAAACTTCGGATATTAAGGACGACGAATTTAGTATAAAAGTAAATCATAAATATAAAAGTGTATGAACTAGCTATTTTTACGTGAAAACCCGGAAAAGGGAGAAAACCACGGGACTTTTTAGGCTAACGTCCAAACCCGCTCTTTCTCATTAATATGCTCTCTTCACCATTTACATAATACATAAGTTGAAGCTCCATTAATGGAGAATTATGAGCTAATTCACTAATAAAGAAGATGAAGTAAAGGAGAAAGAAGCTTTCTCCAAGAGAGAAGAGCCAAAGAAGAGCCTCCCCTTAGCAGGAAGCTTTGCTTCCTATTTATAGATGGGGGGTGGGTGTGAGGGTTTTCCTGATTTGGGCCAATGGGCCTACATGGGTCGTGTTGGGCCGAAATGAGCCTCACAGATCGGGCCCCGTACCGGGGCGGTGTCTTGGACCTCTAAACAGTAGTGGACCGGGGTAATATACCCCAACACTAGTACATTTTTTGTTTGTGCCATATATTTTTTGTTTGTGGAAGAAAACTAGCTCAACACTTTGAATGATACCGACAGCACCTTAGGTTTATTTTCCGGCGACATTTTACCTCCGGTTGGTTTTCCAGTGACTTTTAATTATATTTTTTCAATTTTATTTCTTCATACATTTTTTAATTAATATTTAAGAAGTCATAGACATTTTTTTATACGATACAAACAAATATTCACCAATTATTCATCTTCAGTTTAATTTTCCGGTGACTCTTCATCTCACGAATCTTAAAAATTAAAAAATGGAGTGGAAAAGATGGAAGGTGATGAGATGAAAATAATAAAGATGAAAGATAGTGATTGAGATAAAAAATGACACAAGATTATGAATACATAGGGGTGGAGATGAATGTGATGAAGATGGAAAGAAAAAGAAAGAAAAAGAAAAAGATTGAGCAAGGAGGGGA